AGTCTAAACATATAAACAAGATGCTGATAAATACTCTATTACACAAATAATAAAAATACACACAGGCCAAAAAAATACATAAATGATGCCAAGTAGGACCAATTGCATAACGCTAAGATCAGACAAAACATACATACTAGGAAAAATATATAAAAAATTCTAATTTGGTATAAAAGTATGATATTTTTCATACAACTCATACATTACACATATAATTAATATATTCACAATAGATTATAAAACTACTTTTAATGTTATGCATTGAGTCAAATGCGTTACAGCAAAATTAAAACACAATTTTGATACACAAATCATCTAAAAGGGAGATAGATAACACAAATTAACAAGAATATAAATACTTTATTAAGATAAATTACCACTTATATTAAACAAAACTAAATCATTTCAATAAAATTGCCCATCACAATAAAATTCACTTAAGCCAAGAATAAATTACACTATACAATTTTCTTATAATTATCATATAACTTTAATGACACAAAATACAAATTTGATCAACTTTTCTTAAATCTAGAATAACGTAATAAAAACATATATACAACAAAAATTCTTTTATACATATTATCATTAAGCATACACGAGTATATCTACTCAATAAAATCATCCTTAATTATATTAGATCTAATCTAAGTAATAAAAAAAAAAAAAACAAATTTAAAGTTTTCTAAAATATTTCAAAACTTATTTACAAAAAACTATATTTTTAAGAAACAAAAAATACATTAGTTAAATTAACACATACGTTTCTATTTTAATCACACAATGTGATGACATTTATTCCATAGTTAATATTTCTACACCACTATGACCACTTTGTTCATAATTTTATATAACAAATGCATCAATAAATATGCAATAATCAACGCTTTTATACTATATATATATCACATATACAATAATATATACTAATATAGAATAAGGCTTATTACTAAACATAATATAATTCACTAACACAATTTTAAAACAAAAATATATATAACTTATATAAAAAAAAAAAAAACAAAAAATTACATAATTAATACTATCATAAATCATGTATTTAACATTTAAATATTAAATCTTAATAAATATCACTTAACTCAAAATATTCTCTAAATTATATATTATAATCATTGATTTATGTAAAAAAAAAAAAAACATAAAATATAAAAGTATAAAAAAAAAAACCTTTTTATTATATACAATCTCATATATTCCCAATTATTAAATAATATTATTATCAAATGTAATCATGTCATAATTGTTATTATGTGTCTAAAACATTTGTATTTCAATATAACCTAGCACTTAAGTTATTATCACATTATATACAACTTAAACATATATATATATATAATGAATCATTACATTTATAAAATCGATACATGCCTCATTTTCACCAAAATCATTTTTTGTATAAAAAACACAACACCAATTTGTAAACAAACATACACACCTATGCTCACACATAATCGACCCTTCTTTATCTACAATCTATCAATGTGTACAACAACAGGATCTATTCCATCACATACGGTCATCGGCAACCAATCATCGGACCGCCCACATCTATACGGAAACGAATCACGAAGGACACGCAAACCAAACCGGATTGTCAAATCCTCAATACAGCCTGGTAATAGAAGGGATGGCCATACTATTGTCACCCCAACAATACAATCCTGAAATCCTATTACAAACAGTAATTCGTTCGACCTTCGCAACGGTTCACGTGTTTAAATTCAGTAGTTCAACCAATCTTACTGTCATGTCGACATTTTCTAAAAGAAATGCTTGGTATTCAAACTTCATTATTGACGACTACATGAGACTTCTCGTGAATTATTCCAAGTCAAACGTTTATGCATTTAATACGGATTTCATTAATCAACTCCTCACACATGGCTTTGAAAACGCCAAGAAAAATTTAATCGAACACAACATATTTTCTAAACAATATTTGTTTTTACCAACAATTGTGTGCGGTTGCCATTGGATTCTAAACACAGTACACATCCCATCACATACTATAACACAGTATGATAGCTTACACACATATTTTCCGCAAGTAACCAATACCATTGCAACCATGTTGAAACAATACACAGATCTTATGAACATTGATCCAATTAATTGGACAATCGTTCAAGGTGATTCTCCCTATCAAGAAAACGGGTATGACTGCGGAGCTTTTGTTCTCGAAATGACCAAACATATCACTATGGAAACACCATTCAATTTCAATCAGAAACATATGTCTCTTATTCGTATTCGACATGAGAAGGAATTACGACTTCAAACAATACTACCAATACTTTTACGACATGGCATCGATGGGAGCAATAATCAATCATCTCAAACTTCTAAAAACACAACATTATCACCCAACTCAGTATCAGGTGAGTCCACTGAGTTAATAAACTATAAAGCCATAAAGAACAAGCGTAGACTCAAACGTATGGGTTATAAAAGACCACGAAATCACAAGAAAAAGAACAAAGCAAAAACACATGATCACACATTATCACAATAATACACACACTTAAATTCTTTAGACAAAAAATATAATATATTCATAATAAAATAAAAAAAGGGGAAACAACATGTATCACATTTCATTATATTCTCATAGTTTAAGATAACTAACCATTATTATTATCATAATTACTATTATTATTTTATCCATTATTATACACCTTATCATGTTACGAGGGCGTAACATAAAAAAATTAGCCCGCACTTTGTAGTAACATAAAGCATATGTTTAAGTTTTAACTATATTTATTAAACTATCATTTTGTAATAACATATTATATATTCAAATTTATACTATATGTGACATTTTTATATAACTATCATGTTATTATTATTCAATATACAACGCGCGTAGTGTGATATAGAACCTCTTTGAATAATTTCAATAAACTTAAAATACTCTAATAGATAGCGTACATACTCATTTTAGGCGTAACATTTACATAACAATAGGTTCATTAAAGAAGGAGTTAAACACACGACTCGACACGAACTTATCCGAGACGAACTTAACCAACACAGAAACGCACTATTTAACCCAGCCCACAGCGCAGCGAAGCGCAGTTGCTCTCTCACATCTCTCTTACAACCTTCCTCTCCTTATTGTGTGGACGCCAAAGTCGGGTAGCTGTTATCAGTCCGCCGCGGCCACCAATATCTTTCCTTTCCTCATTGTGTGGACGCCAAAGTCGGGTAGCTGTTATCAGTCCGCCGCGGCCACCAATGTCCTTCCTTTCCTTATTGTGTGGACGCCAAAGTCGGGTAGCTGTTATCAGTCCGCCGCGGCCACCAATATCTTTCCTTTCCTTATTGTGTGGACGCCAAAGTCGGGTAGCTGTTATCAGTCCGCCGCGGCCACCAATAACATAATCCTTCCTTATTATCCTTACACATACATACGCCGAGTCCGTAGCGATATATAAAAATACTATATTCATTACAGTTCAATTACTTAAATACTTTAAACCGTACGAGTTTCTTATCACACACGTGTCATTATTAACCAACAAAAACACTGTTGTTCTTTCGTTCATTATATACATATACCTATACCTAATTACTTTCCTCTTAAAGGTACCGTTAAAGGACATTAATTCTAGCGGTCGAACAATCCTACTACACCCATGTGACTATTTTTGGTCAGCAAGGAATGTAGTCGGCTTATAATAACTCAGTAGACGTGGTTATTTCTGACAAGCGCACTGATTATTATAATATCATTGGTAGACCGTGTACTGAATTACACTTTAACGAGAAACAGATGGTCATAAGATAACGTTAAAACGCCAGTGTTTGAAATATTTTATGGATGAAAACATTCGTGTTAAAACAACGTTCACTTCGGCATATCAAGATCACATACTCAAGGAATATCGACAAGGTCATAGAGCTTCGAGTGACTCCACGACAAGGTATGTACTGCATACAATATTATAACACTGTGTAATAGTAAGTCTAGAGGCAGGAAGTGAGCCCTTGTAGTAAACATACACACATGCACACCCCGATTAAGAGCCGTTTTTATACTTATTTAAAATATCCATTCACCGCCGCTTCCCCGTGCTTTTCTTCTATTACAAAATAAACAAATCACCTATATCATTTTTTGTTCCACCGCAGTAAATCCTATCTAATTAAAAAACGTAAACTGTCTTCCGACGGCCACCGCATACAAAAAGTAGATTACCAGGTTCAAATGTGCCCAATAGTTTGCCACCGAGCACGTCTCCGCCATCAGTGGTAAAGTCATTTTAGAATCCAAATTTGCAATATACATAATATATTGAATAATAATAATATTTAATGAACATATAATACATGTATTATTATTATTTTGTTCTGAAATTCAATTGAAAATATTTAAATTCAGACACAGAAGTTATGTGTGTCTTCAGTAATCTACTTGAGTAATATTATAATATTATTAAAATGTAATAATATTTAGTGAGACAAAGCTGGTAAGCAATTTTTTAGTGAACTGATAAACGAATTTAAATTTACAAAAACAAATGATATATATATATATATATTTGTTTATCATTAAAATAAAATACTTTTTACATTTATGTAAAAAAATGTAAAATTAAACAGAAAAATAACTATGCAGAACTCGTACAACAGTGTCAACCCGAGTCGTTCCATCGCCTCCTCGTCACTCATTGTCTGGAGTACTGCCGTCTGCTTCACCGCTACACATCTTCCCCGACAGACTGTCCAGGATACGGTTAGATGGGACGGTGAGCCAGCATTTCGCGCTACTGGCTCGCACCGTCACCGTCGTTCCCGAGTTGTCCCTTCGTTTCCATCGTCTGGATTACTACTTCACGTCTTCCTCAACAGGCCGGCCGGACAAGTTCGGGATGCGATTGGACGGAGACAGTGGCTGCAGCATCTCGCGCTACTACAGCACACGTGTCCGCCAACGGCTTCGCCGACTTGCCGGCCACAGTTTATCGGCTGGAGTACTATTGAAAGTTGTCCGACTCGCTTTCTTCGCTTTCTGACTGGTACGACGTTGGCCGTCTCCGCTTTGTTGACCTGGGTTGCTCATCATCAGAGTCTGAACGCGGTCTCTTCAGACCTGATGATGAGCACGGCTGCGGGTCGTCCGAGTCTGACTCAACTGGTCGGCGTTCGTTGACAGGCGGGCGAATGGCGCTAAAAGTATTACAGTATGTATTCCAGTTGTTTTCTAATACTATTTCTCGGATTAGGTTATCTAAGTCGTCATCAATGATAACAAAATATGATCACCCGGCCGGAAGGAAATAAATCATTTTTTTGATGTACACATTAATTTACAATGATAAGCTATATGGTGCACAAAATATGAAAAATGTAATACCAAGCGGTCGCACTTACTTGAAATATGCAAGCCTTGCATCGAAGCTGTATGTGGGCATGAAGTTCCGGGAATATTCGTCGTCGTCGTGGATTTTGTCGGTTTCGTCTGTCTCAATTGACTCGTCATCGTTGTCCTCTGTCTCTCTGTCGTCGGTTTCGTCTGTCTCAATTGATTCGTCATCGTTGTCCTCTGACTCTGTGTCATCGTTGTCCTCTGTCTCTTTGTCATCGCTGTCCTCTGTCTCTGTGTCATCGTTGTCCTCTGTCTCTCTATCGTCGGTTTCGTCTGTCTCAATTGACTCGTCATCGTTGTCTTCTGTCTCTCTGTCGTCGGTTTCGTCTGTCTCAATTGACTCGTCATCGCTGTCCTCTGTCTTTCTGTCATGGTTGTTGACAAGTGGCGGAACAGCACTATTAAAGTATGTACTCCATTGTCTAATGACTTCCAATACTATTTCAGGTATATAGTTATTTAACTCGTCGGTGTTTATGTCAATCTCTTCGTCCGTGTCTCTATCTCTTGTGTCTATGTCGCTAAAACGAATTATACATAAAAAAACAATTGTATTATTAACACTAGCTGTTGTTAAACTCGACTAGCCAGCTACTATTTTATCAAGCTTTAGTACTTGTATATAAGGCGTTCTGGAAATAACTCTTCTTCGTCGTCCGTCAAGAAGTCTTCGTTTATGTCTGTTATATGATCAAATAAGAATTTGGGTGGATCTCTTTCTAACGGTGCCATTTTAGCTAAAAAGTGACAATATTTTCTAACTTAGTCCTATGACAATATAAATAAAATACTGTGTTTAAAAAAAAAGCTCCGAACGCATATCGCGTGACTTTGATTTGAAACAACTCTAAGAATATTATATGTACATATTGAAAAACATATTTTATCTTTTAAAAAAAATGTACAAGTTTTAAAAGTGAAAATAATTAGTCATTTAGTTTATTAAATTGGTTTTGGTAAGATAAAATTATCAGCTTTTCTTTTTCAAAATTCCTTCAGTAATAAATATTATTGAAACGCCGGATCAAGAAAGCTACAATATACAGCCGACGCATGTTGTTAAATTAATTTTTTTTACTAACTAAAAATACATTTTTTTCTAAAGCAGTTTTTTAGTATCTATACTAACAACAGAACACTTAAGTTTCTATGACTGTTAGAGTTTTATTAAATAAGTACATCCTAAAAATCTAAACCTAGTCTTACGAACACATTTCATAAAAATGTGTATCATAGAAATAGTTATTAATTATAAAAACGTAACGAGAAGAGAAAAAAAAGTATGTGGACACTATTGTACTAATTGAGAATAGTATTTTATCTTTAGTTTATGACATCATCTTATATATAAGAACTTACCTGTAATCGTTCAACGTTGTATAAAAAATCAAAAGAATGAAACTTAATAAATATATAAAAAAAACAATGAAATAAACAAAAAAACAATTAACACAAAATACAAAAGTGTTACAAGTAAATGTAGAATGTAAATATACAAAAATAATAAAAAATGTAGAAAAAACTGAAAATAATTATGCAATAAAAGTGTAAATAACAAGAATAAGTAAGTATAAGTTTGATATGATAATCGAAATAAGCTTTTTGATTTAACAGAGGTTGGTTAGAATAATTCAAAGTGTTTATCCGGGCTGTCAAGATCAAAATGCGAAGAAAACCGTGTTGTTTACAAGGTACAAGACAAAAATTGCCTTGACGACCAAACGGTGAAATTATTATTAAAAATTTTAATGTTATTTTATCTAAAAAGGGACAATATTTTACTTAGTCCTAAGATATAATTAAAACACTGTGTGACTTTGATTTGAAATAACTTTAAGAATATACAAACATAGGTATTCGAAAACATATTTTACCTTTTGAAAAAAATGAACAAGTCTAGATTTTTTTTAGTACTACCAAAAGTACACTTAAGGTTCTGTGACTATTTATTAACTGTCCTTTAACAATAAAGAAATACTAGCGAGAACCATTGTAAAACCCAACAATATAAGTCTTTTACTGTTTTTTTTAAAGTTAAATTAAATAAGTACATCCTAAAAAACTTACCCTAATCGCACGAACACAAACAATCATATAAATGTGTATAGTAATAATAATTAGTGAACGTGACGAGATGTGGAAAAAAGTATATAGACACTAATATTAATTGAGAATAGTATTATACCATTAGTTTATAATAACATCTTATATATTAAAAGTTATTTAAGATCGGGAAATGTATCGTCAAAAAAAGAAAGAAAATTAACAAATGAACACAAAAACAATTACTTACTTACCTGAATACTAGTTCGGAACGCTATAGTTTTGTTGAAGACAATATCCAATATTGTTAAGTTTCAATTAATAATTTATTGTTCCAAAAATACACAAAATAGTTATTATGGAAAAAACACAATTTTATAAAAAGTAAATGACTTTAAATAATAGCAATTAGTTACATATATTAAATAAGTCACTATAAGAATAGTTTAACCAAATTATATTCACCAACATAGTAAGTTTAATAGATATTTTATCGTTTAGAAGGTCGGTTAGGTTATGCAATACAATGCATAACTTTTTTCCTGCTCTTTGGTTTGATTTGAAGTGTTGATGGTTTTATAGCTTTAAGTCTGCCGATCACGTACACCATAACCAAAAGTTCATACCTGTCAAAATTGCCTTCTAGAAATGTTTATAAAAAAAAGGCGTTTTTTAGTAGTTTCTCCCGATAACATTGTACTAATTATAATGTACAATCCTTAAACCACATAACGTCATCTGCCATCCCTACCATATTCTCTGAGCATCGCCCGGCGATCGGGCTATCTTCTTGATTTTATGTCGAAATTTTATTATTTGATATAAAACGTAAAACAATCCCATCTATTTGTGTTCTCTCGCTTGAAAAGTACCAAAAAAAATGCCTATATATGGTTAAATTTTCCTTTTCTGGCATCAATTTTGACATGTATGAACTTTTAAGTATGGTGTATGTGCTCAATAGACTAATGGCAATAATACCATCAGAACTTCAGAACAATCTAAGGAGAAGGCAAAAAGTTATGCATTGATTTTTGCACAAGTGTCGAAAGAAAAGTATTTTGTGTGTGAGTAAGCACAAGTCGTTTTTCTGTACAAATAACACATTGAATCTTGGCGCGCTTAATATCAGCAGACAGGGCGTGACTTAGCGGTTACAATGCAGGGTCGTGCATCTCTCTAGCTGCACTCCCTGCTGGGTTAGAGCCCTTAAAGGGCAAATTTGGGAAATTTCCCCAGCAAAAGTCGATTGTTGAATTGCATAACAACAGCCGTCGACGGACGGTTATCAATACTTAGCAACCGCGAATAGGATGATTTATATTTCGGAGAAGGGGACGTCTTCACGGGACTTAACAGTAGTTATTAAGAAGACAAGGACCACGAGGGCCGGCACTTGACGTAACGCATATATTTCATTGACTGCTTAAATTTAGAAAAATTTACTACAACTTTTGACTGGTTGGATAACTATTTTTAATGCTATAAGAATTAAAAACTTAGGATGGGATAGGAATAAGGCATGTTTTGGAAAAGCTGTGTCAAGAAAGCCAACTTATGTATTTTTAAAGTGAACATGAGGCGTCCTCTTAAAAATGTATAGTAATCGATACAAACGTGAATTTTAGAACAAGTTCCAGAACTTTGGACGATTTCAATGGCATTTCTTCACGGACTTGGCGTTAAGAGGTAATATTTTTTAAATTGCCTTTTTCTATGATACAAACCTAACTTTTTATGAAACCAAATTTGAAGTTTCAAATATTTTTATACTTTACTATTATAAATCAGTATTATAAACGTCTAATTGAATGATTAAGAAAGACTAGTCAATGTCCAAAATGTTATTTATTTTAGTTTGATATCGTTACACGAAATTATTTTACTTAGTCTATACATTACCACAACTTTTTAAGATTAAGTATTTTCCAAAAATTTACTGTTTTGGCGTATTTTTTAGTAAACGCAAAGAATAACGATGTACATTATTAAACACAGGGAACACCACTAAACCCCTATTGACGTATAGAGACATAACACATATTTATTTATACATTTATTCTTTATAAATTTCAACTCGATCCGACCCCTTGTCCCGAAATTAAAGCCAGTAAAATTTAAAACTAGTATTGTTTAATGTTTCCAAATTTTAGCTGTGAAGAATTTTTTAAATATTTTTTTATTATTAGTGAATCAAAAAAAGCTATTGGATGAATTTTAGCACATATATTTTTCTATGCTATTCAATATTTATAAGGCTTATTCAATTCTTCGACTTATTTAATGAAGGGAAAACAGGACAAATTGTAAGGGAAAATCCAATTATCATAATAGTTTATTGTACTTAAGTTTTGTAACGATAATCATAAATCAAATAACAGCGAGGAAAGGTAAAAGAACACATATTTTTTTAATATGTTTTCTTAGTAGTAAATTTATAGAATTTTATTAGAACAGAACTTATCTTATTATGTTATGTGTATATATAATAAAAACTTTATTTTCATTGTAGGTTAAGTTTAGGTTGTTTTTGAAACAATTGACATGACATAACATTGAGGTAACACTTACTTACAAGAAAAATGAAGTAAGTACGGTAATTGAAACCAAAATTTATGTTGATAGCTTTAAGATATTGTTGCTAATAGGAAAAAACAAAAGGCTGACGAGAACACAGATATGTGTCTTAGATTAAATATATGATAACTTACCATTAGATCGGGTTCTATACCCATGCGGTATAATGATTTGAATTTGATAAAAGCCTGTGTTACATCTTATAACAACTTAAAAATTTAGAAACTTAGGAGATAATGATACTGAAAATTATGACAATGACAATACCGAAAACATAGGGGCTGGTGACAGATTGTTGGGCGTATGTGAACCCGGTAACTTAGGCATAATTATATAGTTTTTCTATTTTGTTAATTGAATATAACATAAAAATTATAAAACAAGGAAATTATAATTCGTTTTTAAACGCAGGAGATTTCATTGATTTAACCCAAGACAGCGATGATGGAAGTGAAACTGAAAATAAGAAAATTACCGAGATTGTTCATTGATTTTCTCAAAATTGAGGTAATTTTATAATCAATGATTATATCTGTCCTATATTTCTATGTTATTAAATTGTTTAAGCCCTTAGCTCAGTATTTCTATTAGTTACTATTGGTCAATGTTCATAATAGTATAATAAAATGTAAAACTTTTTATGTTCTTGTTAGAATCCAATAAATTTTGATCCAGCCTTTTTTCAAACACGCAAAAGGAAGGATGAGAGAATTAATGTTATGGAAATTATTATGATTATAAACTTAATCATTTTTATCAAATTTATATTTTTGTTAAAACCAGTTGAACCGGTTGTAAAAAAAATGCACGTTGTTAACTCTGAAGAAAATAATTTTGTAGATTTAACACTTGATAGCGATAATGAAGGTGAAGATCCGAAGAAACCTGATAACATACACGAATTAAACATTGAAGAGAAAATTACCATCAAACAACCTGGTATGGAAGTTGAGTTCAGACAAATATTAAAGGACGTTAGAAGAAGACTGACTGTTTTTATGATTTTGAATTTATTGTATGGGTTCGTGCATCAAATAAAAATTTTAATTTAATTGCGCGCGCCACGCTGTACCAGAACGGAGGTATGATATCGGCCGTACTTTGACCGCGAC